CCAGGCAGTTTAGGGTACAGGCATAATTCAGACACAAACTGCAGGGTCTACAGTTTGTAAACCACCTGAATCTATGCCTCCGTCAGTTCAGGACACATACAGGAACCAGATGCAGCCCAGATGGGTATCAGTCACAGACTTCCCCAGCCTTCAACTCTGTAGGGGGTCTGGGCAATGGGAATGCACGGACTCGAACCATGGGTCCGGCAGCTCCTGGAGCACTCACTCACTCGGCCTAGCTTGGGTGGGGGCTGAGAAAGTCTACACACCCCACCCCCAGCCAGAGAAGTCCCTCGGTCTTCTGAGGGAGGATCTCCTCTCTGAACAGATGCAGGGAGGGCAGAGACTCCATCTGTAATGGCAGCAGGGTACTGGTTCACACACTCTGCCCTCAGGAAGTAGATGGGAAATACCTGGCTCTCTCCGTGTGTTTCAGCTGGGAACCGTGGCAGTGTGGGCCAAGCACAGACTCGAACCCACAAGTCCAGCAGCTCCCAGAGCACTCACTCTGTCAGCGCAGGTTGCACGGGCTCAGAGAATCTGATTATTTATTTTTTAATGAAATAGGTTAAATACACGTGGCTAGTAAATATTTAAAATTGTAATTTGGTCAAGGGAATCATCTCTGATTGTATGAAAATATCTCAAAAGTAAGGCAGAGGGCATAGAATAAAACAAAATCACCTGACTCAATCTAAGAAGCAGGAAGAAGAAGTGCAGAAATATTGGTAAATTTAAAAAAAAGTTTAATAATATAAAAAAATGAGTTTGAGGCCTGGTTGGGAAACTTAGTGAGTTAGTGAGATACACTGTCTCAAAATATAAACTTTAAAAATGGTTAGAGTTGTAACTCATTATGCAGGCTCTTACTTCAATCCTCACTATTCCCCTGCCCCCCAAAAAATCCAGACATGTTCAAGTGACACAATAAGTGGCTGTAGGTTTACACAAGATGCATTCCTGCTGATTCTTCTGCTCTTTTATAGTATTCTTTATATGAGGGTCCTACTGCATACAGAACTCAACCATACCTGCCAATGCCAAGTGCTCTACAGCCATCTGCGCAGGACCATGGAATATTAGTTTTCCTGCAGCCAGTAAGGTGAGACTATCAAACATCTTGAAGATAGAATGCGGAGCCTGGTGAACAGAGAAGATGATTGTTCTCCCCTGTTTAGACAGCCTATGTCAAAGGAGAGAAAGCAACCAATAATTACACATCTGAACCTGGCAGTTCCTGATAAAATATTTTATTCCTGATTTCAGACCATTTGATGCCAGTTCAATTTCATTTTCTCTTATAAATATCTCATTGAACCTCATTTTTGTTAAGTAATACTTATTTTTTTTTTATTTTAAAGATAAAAGGAGGGAAACATTAACAGACATACAACATTTTACAACATATCACAAGCACAATACAGACAATACAGAGTTACAAACAAAG